GACTATATATAACATAATAGAAATAAAATTAAAAAAAACTTATGAAGTATAATTTCTAAAACAATGGTAAAATTATATTTTTTTGTGTGTGCTATAATGATTTAACCATTTATTTATTTTAGTGTTCTGTTAATATGCTTGGATAGGATTCAAATGAGAAATTTGATAACATTCCAGATATATCCCGAGATAAAATTTATTACATTTTATTTTATTTTTTAAATAATACAAGGTATATTAGTCAGAATTAACAACTATATGTCGTGTACTATATGACTAAGTTAGAATGATTTCAATAAATCAATTATTTATAAATAAATGTTTTTTTTTTCACTTGTAAACAAAACAACAGCAAAGAATGGGCAGCAGCAGAGTCGGCGGAACAATCCGGGACTTCCAAGCCGCAGTGCGTCAGCTAGAAGGGGCAATTTCCAAGCAGCAACTGGACAGGAGGAAAGAGGAAAGAGGAGAAATCCTATGAGGATTAGGAGAAGAAAAGTCCAGAATTAAAAAGCTTTATATGAGACAGAAACAGCTTTGCATAGCAGCTCATCAGCATGGCAAAATTCTGAGTTCTGATTCGTGTTGACTATCTTAGATTATATTAGGATTATTTTTATAAATTATTTTCCATCTATTAAAACTCTTATTAAGCTCCACTGAAATTAAGGCTATAAATAGCCAAAATGTATGAAGATTTGAGCAAGAAATAAGAAATAAAATTATCAAATACCCTCACAAACTTTTCTGAGCCCATCTTTCCCTCCTGGAGTTAATTTCCCTCAAAATCCAAAAACCCCAGATTCGAAAACAGCACTCTATTCAGGTTCGGAGGGTTGATTGGAGTAGGGAATATTCCAGGAAACGAAGGACTAACCTTTTATACAAATAAAAACAATTTTATTTTAATTTAAAAAAAAATAAAACATCGTTTTTTTATAAAAAAAATATCGGATTATAAATTAACTTTTCTCTAAGCATTTTAAAAACCAGGTGGGGTTTAATAATAAAGCATAAGACATTCATACTTTATGATTAGAAAAGGAAAATTAATTAAAATTCAGGTAAAGGAAGGAGAACTAATGATTTGTGGGTTCTTCTACCTGGATGAGATTTCCTAATTTACTTTAATTATGAGAAGAGCAGACAGAGATTGGAGAGGCCGAGAGAATGAGGAGGCAAACGAACAAGAATTACATTTTATTCTTTAATAATCCTTACGATGTGCATTGCAAGACACTATTAAAACACTTGGAATAGAAAATTAACGAGAATTACTAAAATTTAAGCACAAGTTTAGTGAAAAAAGTCATAAATCAATAGAGAAGGCAAAACCAACTTTTTGATAGAAGGACTTGATTGACCAAATTGTTCAAGTTCAAGGATTATGAACTATCAAAACTTGTGGCTTCTTCTGCCGTTTTCTTCCATTCCAAGACCCTTTTCCTGCCCTTCTCTCTCATCTAAACATCATGAAGAAGACTCTTTATTTTTCTAGAATTTATAAAATTAATTATAATATACACATACTGATTCGAATATTCACATTAATCTAAAAAAAAACTCTCTACTTCGTCCCTTTTGAAGTCATCACTCAACTCCAAGCCAATTCCCCACTCTTTGCAACTCTTTCTAGAGTTTGCAAATTGGTCCCCAAAGAATATTCGCTTAGCCAACAAATCATCGGCAGTCCAGCAGATATGCTTTCAATCAATGAGTTCCACCCACAATGTGTTAGGAATCCTCCTACTGATGGATGGTTAAGGGCTTTCTCCTGTGGGAGAATCGCGGGGTCTCCTTTGATCAAATCTGGCCTAGTTATCCACAAAAGTTGTGCTTGCTATCAGCAATTCCCCATGCATGAAAGCTCAAAGCTGTTCTGTGGTTGTTATTGTTGAACTACCGAAACTTACATAAATCACTGAATTCGGCTCTTTCGAATCAAGCCACTTAATGCATTCTAGCTCTGCGTCCCACAAATTCCCATCAACAGTCTCACAGAAATCATTAGAGGTTTGGTTCAGAAGCAGTTGAGTAGGACCAATGGTGTAAACCTGAAGAAAAATAGATGACAGGCTACTCAAGTCCTCGCCCTCCAAGGAATCGTAGGTATTGAAAATAACTGCTGATGCCTTGGAAAGTCTTTCCATGTCACCTTCACTTGAGTCCTCCATGTATCCATTTCGATCTCGAACTTGAACCTTGAGAAGATCCCCTTTCATTCGTGGAATCCATTCTAACTTGTTGTCCAGCATCTCATCAGCCTGTTAATTTGTTTGGTTCTGTGGATAATATGGTTAACTAAAACAACATTTACATCTATGTTGATTGCTTGTAAAATTCAACAGAGAAGCGCTGCTAAGATGAGTTTTCACAGTGCTACAATCTCAAATGTAGAAGGTCTTCCCTTTCTTTTTCTTTTTGCATAAAGAATTCAGGCCATTTGACTAATGAATGGATTAGATTCATAAAAAAAAAAAATGAATGGATTAGTCATGAAAGTAAAGAATCGAAAGAAAGCCATGGACCAATCCATTATCAATGTTTTCTCTATGACAAGCTGGGCTTCATTAATACTGGGCTTAGCCCATCACTTCCATGGCTACTGGCTAAAAAGCTCAGAGGCTAAAAACAGGGCTGCAAAACGCAGTTTATCCCCACGGCTATCGGACAAGTAGTTTGTTGTGGGTCACATATTATTTTTTCTAATAGAAAAAAATAAATAAATAAGCAAGTGTTTTCATTATATTTTTTAATATAAATTTTTTTATTACAAATAAAAAAATTATGTATACATTCAATTAAATAATTTAAAAATTATTTGTGCTAATAAATGACAAAAAAATTATTAACGAATAATTAAAAATTAAACTTAAAAAATTAAAAGATAGATATAAATCAAAATATTTAATCCAGTAATATGAACCACGTACTAGCCATGTTTGATAACTTTATTTATTAGATTTAATATTTTATTTAATCAACGATAATAGAAATCGACATACAAAAAAAATAATTGAATAAAATATAAAAAAATAATTTATACAGAATTAAAATATTATAAGAAAAAATATTATTTTTTTTTATAATAATCAATTAAAAACTAAATAACAAAGTTAATTGTGATTGATTTTTTTTATTATTAAAGCATTGTGTTTTATTATTTAAAACATTGATGTTAACCTGGTCAAGTTTAGATTGACATAGTAAATCAAATTATTAAAAATTTAGTTAGATTAATTAAGTTTAGTCACATCAATATTTTATTTTATTTTTTGCTTCAACTTGAAAATTAACCCGATAGATATTTCAAGGCACAAATTTTATGAATAAACTAAGGTATAATTAACAACTATTCCTGCCGTACAAGTCAATGGAGATTTCCATAACCCCTTCAAAATTTCCATTGCTTCCTTACGTTTTCATTGACAGCTCGCAAACCTACCCCATGTTAGCATTTTTCTTCTGTCATCCCCACCAATTAATTAATGTGTAAACTGTAGAGGAGCATAGAAAAGAAACGAGTGAAATAACGCCAACCAATGATAATCTCCAGATTACATGGCTTCATATAAAACTATACATCATGAAAAGGATATTGGTCTTCGATTGTTATGTCTGCTGATAAAGGGATTATTCTTCTCTCCAAGTACAATCCTAATTAATTTATAGAATATATAATAATCCAAATTTCATTATCTCGTTTCGATCAGGCATGACTGAGCTTGAACCATTTTTTCCAGGAAAGTCAAACAATCAGGGATTAGAAACGGAGGTGCACGCACCATCACCATCACCATCACGTTGGAAAATGGAACCTTTTGCTTTTATTTGCAATAATTGTAAGTACTTACGTAACCCTACAGTAATATTTATACATCTCACCAACCTTGTTGAACTTATTGTATAATCACATAAGATGGTCTCTCTGCGTAAAATCATATAAATTATATGAGTTTATTTATAAGGTTTTATGGAATGAAAAAAATATTATCAATTAACAAAATTTGCGTTGGGATAATACCATAGCCAGTCTTTAATTAGACGTCCTGCAAAACAGGTAGTTGCTTACTGACTGTATCCACGGGGAAGCAAATTGGAACCCCAGCTTGAATGTTTCTCGTGATTGGTTTGAAGATTTAAGATAGTGAAAAGAGTTTCTTTTTGAAGATTTTGTTTGAAAAATGATTTAAGATCTTTTTGGAGTTTTTATTTTATTATCTTTTGGATGGATGGCTAGCGTGACCCTTTTTAATGGAGTTACAGAAGTGAGATTTTGGGTTTTTATTTTATTAGTTTAAGTCTGGTAGGGAACACAGGCACCGCTATGGCGCAACCTGTGTTTTTAATGGAGTTACCGGTGCACGTACCACAACCGTCACCGTAGAAGTGAGGTTTTGGGTGGTTTTTATTTTATTATATTTTGGATGAATAGCTAGTTTGGCACTTTTTAATGGAGTTATAGAAGTGAGGTTTTGGGTTTTTATTTTATTATTTTGAGTCTGGTTGGGAACATGGGCATCATTGCAGTGCAATATATGACTATATGTTTTTAAATCAAAAATATATTTTAATATATTAATATTTAAAAACACGAGTTGCACGAGAATCACGTGTGCATTTCGAACATCAACTTTTAGCACATTTTGTTTTTTATTTAATTTAAAAAAATTAGTTTTTTTTTGTGTTTTCAGATATTTTTAATGTTTTATATCAAGAATAATTTTATTTTAAAAAAAATATTATTTAATTATATTTTAAAACAAAAAAAATATTATAAGAAAACCATCTTTGCAAAGGACGCTCGAATGATGTTAATGTTTCTGGGCATTTCATCGAGCAAAAAATGAGGGGAGAATTGATGGAGAGGGGTTTTTTGAAACAAATAATAGCACTTTGGAAGAAAACATCCAGAGGGACCAAATCCAAGGACTATACGAAGATAAGATAGCATAAAAAACAAAGACTAGGTAGTAAAGCCTAGTCTGTATAAATACATGTAACAAATTAAGGCGTGCATCATCTGGATGAGATCAAAACAACAGCAGCATCACAAAACGGATGATATAAATACAACAACAGTACAAAGGTCCATCATGACCACTGGATTTGAATCCAATGGTTGATGTTGGACGTTGAGTCAAATCATCGGTCTTCTGAACTTTCCCTTTACATGATTGTGCATGGCGCCGAGGGATAGTATTCTTCACAAACATATGCACTTCTACACAGATAGTAACCCCTACTTCGGCAACTACAACAACCGTCTTCCCATATATCACACACCGCCCTTCTACAAGGTACAGGACAATATGGAGGTACTGTTGGTATACAAAAGTGATGACAACATGGGCCTTGGCGGCATTTTTCACAACATGTGCATGGTTCTGGTTCTTTCTTTTTTTCTGGTTCTGGTTCTTTCTTTTTTTCTGGTTCTGGTTCTTTTTTTTTTTCTTGTTTTGGTTCTGGTTTTTCCTTCAGAATCTCAACGCACTTCACAGTTCGACCTCCTTTGCAGTATATTTTTTTCTTGATCTTTTCAGGACAGCAACCCACCACAGTGATTGTCACTGTGTTTTTCTTCGTGTCATATGTCTGGTTCTGGATTTCTCTTGTTCATTAATTAACATCATCAAATCCACAAAACTTAGTCACTTCATTTGGTAATAAAAACAACTCAAACCTAGCACTGTTTTTAAAGAGAAAAAATGAAAGACTCACGAGGGATATCACACAGTACTCTCTTGATTTTCTTGTGGCATTTTTCGCATCCGAGGTCAACCACCTTAATCACCATCGTCGTGACTTTCTGTAACAGTAGTACGTAGTTAGTGCATGTATTTTATATAGGACCTCACCATGATCATTAATCCCAATAGAAAAAAAAGAAAATCTCACGATAAATTTATAGACAGAAAGATTGGAAGAACTCAAAACATGTTCTGACATGGAAGAATCCGCTATAGAGATTATATATCAAGAACTTGTACATATATAGGACCTCCACGTAAAAAGAAGAAAAGGCCAAAGAGGATGCTTTAAAAGATAAATCAACACACACAAATATATATCATACCGTTTCTACCATGGTTTTTGTGTATGCTTTGATCCGTTGAGACGATGGAGATATGGAGAGTATATATAGGGGGGGAGGGGGGGGGGGGGGGG